TGACTAGTAGTAGTCTGTTGAAGAGCAGAAGTCCGACGACAAGGAGAAGTCCGACGTTTGGTAGAAGTTCAACCTCGGGTAGAAGACCGACGAAAGTTCATCGACGAGCAGAAGTCCGACGAAGAGTAGGAGTCCGCTAACGAGCAGAAGTCCGACGACAGGAAGAAGTCCGACGTCGGGTAGAAGTTCAACGTCAGGTAGAAGACCGACAAAAGTTCGTCGACGAGCAGAAGTCCGACGACGAGTAGGAGTCCGACGTCTGGTAGAAGTTCAACGTCGGGTAGAAGACCGACGAAAGTTCGTCGATGAGTAGAAGTCCGACGACGCGTAGGAGTCCGCTGACGAGCAGAAGTCCGACGACAAGTAGGAGTCCGCTGACGAGCAGAAGTCCAACGTCGGGTAGAAGTTCAACGTCGGGTAGAAGACCGACGAAAATTCGTTGACGAGCAGGAGTCTGACGACGAGTAGAAGCCCTCTTACGAGCAGAAGTCCGATGTCGGGTAGAAGTCCGCTGACGAGCAGAAGTCCGACGTCTGATAGAAGTTCAACGTCGGGTTGAAGACCGATGAAAATTTATCGACGAGCAGGAGTCTGACGATGAGTAGAAGTCCGCTGATGAGCAGAAGCCCGACGACAAGGAGAAGTCCGACGTCGGGTAGAAGTTCAACGTAAGGTAGAAGACCGACGAAAGTTCGTCGACGAGCAGAAGTCCGACGACGAGTAGGAGTCCGACGTCCGGTAGAACTTCAACGTCGGGTAGAAGACCAACGAATGTTCGTTGACAAGCAGGAGTCCAACGACAAGTAGGAGTCCGCTGACGAGCAGAAGTCCGATGACGAGTAGGAGTCCACTGATGAGCAGAAGTCCGACGTCGGGTAGAAGTTCAACGTCGGGTAGAAGACCGACGAAAATTCATTGACGAGCAGGAGTCTGACGACGAGTAGAAGTCCGCTTACGAGCAAAAGTCCGACGTTGGGTAGAAGTCTGCTAACGAGCAGAAGTCCGACGTTGGATAGAAGTTCAACGTCGGGTAGAAGACCGACGAAAATTTTTCAACGAGTAGAAGTCCGCTGACGAGCAGAAGCCCGACGACAAGGAGAAGTCCGACGTCGGGTAGAAGTTCAACGTCGGGTATAAGACCGACGAAAGTTCGTCGACGAGCAGAAGTCCGACGACGAGTAGAAGTCCGCTAACGAACAGAAGTTCGACGACAGGAAGAAGTCCGACGTTGGGTAGAAGTTCAACGTCGGGTAGAAGACCGACGAAAATTTGTCGACGAGCAGGAGTATGACGACGAGTAGAAGTCCGCTTACGAGTAGAAGTCCGACGTCGTGTAGAAGTACAACATTAGATATTAGTCCGTTGAAAGTCCTGCAAGGCAAAAGTTCAGCGATAGGAGGAAATTCAACATCAGGTAGAAATTTAACTTTGTGTAGAAGTCCGATGGAAGTCTATTTACGGCATTTTGGTGATGTTAACCAAGGATGTATAATCTATCCGAGGTTGTTTGTCAGAGCCTTTTGCTTGATGACGTCAACATATATGGAAGCGGTTGGGAGAATCCATCAAGGATGTGAGACCTTTTCGAGGTTGTATGTCGGAGCCTTTGCTCGACGACGTTAACCTGTGTGGAATAGGTCGGGAGAATCCACCAAGAATGTGAAACCTTTCTGAGGTTGTATGTAGGAGCCTTTGCTCGACGACGTTAACCTGTGTGGAAGAGGTCGGGAGAATCCACCAAGAATGTAGGACCTTTCCGAGGTTGTATGTCGGAGCCTTTGCTCCACGACGTTAACTTGTGCGGAAGAGGTCGAGAGAATCCACCATGGATATAGGACCTTTCCGAGGTTGTATGTCGAAGCCTTTGCTCGACGACGTTAACCTGTGTGGAAGAGGTCGGGATAATCCACCAAGGATATAGGACCTTTCCGAGGTTGTATGTCGGAGCCTTTGCTCGACGAAGTTAACCTGTGTCGAAGAGGTCGAGAGAATCAACCAAGGATATAGGACCTTTCCGAGGTTATATGTCGAAGCCTTTACTCGACGACGTTAACCTGTGTCAAAGAGGTCGAGAGAATCCACCAAGGATGTAGGACCTTTCCGAGGTTGTATGTCGGAGCCTTTGCTCGACGACGTTAACCTATGTGGAAGATGTCGAGAGAATCCACCAAGGATATAGGACCTTTCCGAGGTTATATGTCAGAGCCTTTGCTCGATGACGTTAACCTGTGTGGAAGAGGCCGAGAGAATCCACCAAAGATGTAAGACATTTCCGAGGTTATATGTCGGAGCCTTTGCTCGACGACGTTAACCTGTGTGGAAGAGGTCGAATCGGATCCCCCTGGGATCGATTTTACCTTGATTGGGAGGGGGCGAATGCCGCGTGTATCCCGAATCAAAGGTGAAGAATGGTCTATTTTTAGACCATTACTGCCTTTTTGAGGTCGAGGTTAAGACCTTGCCCAAGGAGTAGAAGTCCAACAAGGGATTATATAAAGCTTGCAATTGATTTGAAGTATCCTTGCATTTGCTCGGATATTCCTGAAATATCAACTTGGTGTTGAAGGTATTGGAGGATCTATTTGACCATGGTTTGAGTCAAAGTTGCCCCCCAGTCCGCATTTAATGCAACAATGACTGATGCAGGAAGTTGATAAGAGCGATCTTTTGAGATTGGAGCAAAAGTTGCCCCCCAGTCGGGAATCACTTTCCCACAGACGGCGCCAAACTGTTGCGTCCTGGAATATTCGCGGCGGTAGAGAAATATATAGTTTAACGTCTTAGCGTTGTACGAAGATCCAGCACACAATCAGATAAGTGAGAGGGTGTAGCGTTCATAAGAGACACCAAAGTTTTTACGTGGAAAACCCCTGAAAAAGGGGGAAAAACCACGGGGCCTAGCCCAGTTTGAATGAATCCACTAGTATTGCAGTCGATTACAAATGAGGCCCTTCCTTAGGAGAAGGCCTTGGATTGATGTAGCAAATGTACATCATATAGATTGCATTACATGGTAAGAGTTACATATACATGTTTGTTTGGCCTGAAGGACCGTGTGCCCCACCTATTTTCGACGGCTCGAATGCTCCAGAAGTTCGAAACAATACTTGTATCGAAATTTTACATTCGCCGAATTGCTCAAAAAATTAGCGTTCCAAGTTGAACATTTGCACAAACTTGATTGTAGAGGCCCCGTGTGAGTTCCCGAAAGTGCGAAATCGAGATCCGGAACGTCGAAAAACGTGTCCGAGGCACCCCAAAAAACGTCCGAAATCGGACCGTCCGGGCCGAAAATCGGGCCCGGACTGCGTGGCGGCCAAACCGGCGACCGTGGCCGGCGCCGGCCCGGCCGGCGCGCCCGCCGCCGCGCGGTGCACGGCATACGGCGGCTGGAGGCGCGTGAGGCCCTGTGAGCGCCACTGAGGCCGATCCTTTTTTCCGCGCTCTGGTAACCCGACGTTATATTAATTTTTTGTTTCAATTAAGTGGGACCCACATGGATGATTCAAAAAATCAAAATACAAAAAAATTCAAAAAAATTCCAAAAAAATTCTGGAAAAAAATTCAGAAAACAAATTTTAGAAGAATTAGAAAAACTCTAGAAACTTCTCCTTCCTTCTGCTCCAAAACAGTCTATAAATAGACCAGGGCCTTAGAAAATCTCTCCTCCTCTCTCTTTCTCTCTTTTTTTCTCTTCTTCTCTTCCCCTCATATCCTTCTATTGAGGCTTCCTCGATTTTTCGAGGCCCCTCTCTTGCAAGGAAGTTCGGAGATTTCCCTCCTTCTCTTCTCCCTCTGTCTTTCCATTGAGGCCTTCCCCTCGATTTTTCGAGGCCCCTCTTGGCAAGGAAGTCGGAGATTCTCATCCTTCTCTTCTCCCTCTGTTCCTTTCTATTGAGGCCTTTCCTCGATTTTTTCGAGGCCCCTCCTTTGGCAAGGAAGTTCGCGAGAATTTCCCCTCCTTCTCTTCTCCCTCTGTCCTTTCCATTGAGGCCTTCCCTCGATTTTTCGAGGCCCCTCTCTTGGCAAGGAAGTTCGGAGATTTCCCATCCTTCTCTTCTCCCTCTGTCCTTTCTATTGAGGCCTTCCCTCGATTTTTCGAGGCCCCTCTCTTGGCAAGGAAGTTCGGAGATTTCCCCTCATTCTCTTCTCCCTCTGTCCTTTCTATTGAGGCCTTCCCTCGATTTTTCGAGGCCCCTCTCTTGGCAAGGAAGTCCGGAGATTTCCCCTCCTTCTCTCTTTTCTTCGAGAGATCTTGTGGAGTTCCGATGTTTGGTGGTTGGCAATGGAGGTCGGATAGACCGTTGTAAGGAGAGAGGTTGGAATGACGGAGCAAACTTCCAGCATCGGGGAGAAGTATGATGACAGACATGAATTCAACAATTTGGGCTCGGATTGGGTTGATCTTGGTGTCGTTGGGTTCGTATTTCCGAGACGCTCAGTTTGACTGTAAGCTCGCTGAAATCGGAGTTCGGGTGCTCCCAAAATTAATTTTTGAAGTTTCCAACTAGCTTTTGCCTCGAGATTCATGCCCGATCGAGATAATTTTGTGATGCCGTATCAACTTGAATTGTTAGATTTCTCTCGAAGGTCATTGTTTGATCCCTCAATTAATATAAAAATAATAATTTGATCTGTCATTTGGATATTTACTATTTAAAAAAAATCAACAATAAAAATTTGACTTTACTAACAAGCTAATATAGAGATATAGAGATGGCTAAACCAATTTGCTCAACACTCATTTTTTAAACAATAATAACTATTGAGGATGAAAACATCTTAGGCTTTTTTACTATATATTTTATTAATATATGAATAATTTTATTAAGCATTTTGTATTATATTTTATAAATATAGGAATTAATTTATTAAGCCTCTAATATTTTGTTGAGGGATTAAATTTAAATAAAAATCATTTCGGCGTTGCTCATCACATGATTCAATGAACGTGGACATGCTTGGAAATGCACTCTGTTTTACGAAAAAGAATTTATTAACCTAACCGACCTTATAGCGTATGCAATGACGGGAGATTGAATCTTTTCCTGCCAATATAAAAGAAGAAAAAGGGAAGAAACAATTTCAAAGATACGATTTTTTGCTTTGTTCTCTTGTTTATGAGGCTATGGCTCCAGCGCCTCTCCTTACTCCCTACAAAATGGGAGCTTTCGATCTTTCTCATAGGTCAGTAAAGATCTTCTCTTTTTATATCCATGGTGGCTATCAAGCTATGTTCTTGTTCTTGGTCTATCTCCATATAGTTCTAGAATTTATCGAAGGGGCAATTCTGTGAATCTTTCTGTATCTATTTTTGGGTTTTTTGGTTTCATGCTTTGTAGATAAATATTAAGCAAATCATATTATGTTTTAGCATTATCTGGTGGAGTTTTGCAATTTTCATGAATAATTTTTAGTGAATCAAAGTAATTGAAGTGTAACAATGGTGATTTTCTTTCTCTAAGAAGTTTCAGTATCCACGCTTTGTTCTTCCGATTTCGTTTTGACTCCTTGAATATCTTCAGAGTAGTACTGGCGCCACTGACGAGGCAAAGGTCCTTTGGCAATGTTCCTCAACCCCCTGCGATCTTATATTACTCTCAAAGAACCTCCAAAGGCGGCCTTCTAATAGCTGAAGCCACTGGAATTTCCGACACGGCTCAGGGGTACGTTTTGCCAGCCCTAACTTGTTTGATCACTTATCTGCTAGCAAAATTCTTGTTTTTAAATGTTTAAATTACTTCCATTTAGGTAAAGTTTTTACCTTTTTTTTTAAAAAAAAAATTCCAGTAATGCTTGTTAAGTGGCTGGTTTATCCCGCTTGTGGTATTAGGTATCCATCCACACCTGGAATCTGGTCCAAAGAGCAGGTGGAAGCATGGAAACCTATCGTAGATGCAGTTCATGAAAAGGGTGGCATCTTTTTTTGTCAAATTTGGCACGTCGGAAGGGTTTCAAATTACGGTACCTCTTACCTACCGATACTGAAAAATTTTATTTTTGTCATTTAGTATTCTACATAGCTTTGGTTCTGTTGATAGCTTCATCTTCTTGTAAATTCCCTAATTAAGGTGTGAGACCTGCAACTCATTTGTAGTCTTTCCATCATATACATATTTAATTGAATGCTTAGCAAATCAAAACGATAGGTTAAATAAAGATTGGATTTGCAGAGCTTCGTTGCTAAAATTAAGGCATCAATGATATCTCTAATGAAAATCTGACTATCATGACTATGTTTTACCACAGATTTCCAGCCTAATGGGCAAGCTCCAATATCGTCCACTGACAAACCAATAAAACCTGTAGTCCGAGCTAATGGTATTGATGTTTCAACTTTTTCTCCTCCTCGGCGTTTAGCAACAGAAGAAATTGCAGATGTTGTCAATGATTTCAGACTGGCTGCAAGGAATGCCATTGAGGCCGGTTAGTGTTCATTAGCCTTCTGGTACTCAATTTAGTTTTTGCCTTTTTTAGCCAAATGCCATGTTCTAGTTCCATTTGCAACTTGCTTGCAGTGCAAACTTGCTGTACTAATTAAACGTTTTCAATTGCTCAGGCTTTGATGGAGTTGAGATCCATGGAGCTCATGGATATTTGATTGATCAGTTTCTAAAGGATCAAGTCAATGATCGAATTGATAAGTATGGAGGCAGCCTAGAGAATCGCTGCCGCTTTGCGCTGGAAGTAGTAGAAGCTGTTGTTGATGAGATTGGAGCTGGCAAGGTTGGCATAAGGCTATCGCCATTTGCCGCCTACTCCGAGGCCGGGGATTCAAACCCAGAAGCACTTGGCCTCTACATGGCCAATTCACTTAACAAATATGGGATTCTCTACTGTCATATGGTGGAGCCTAGGATGATTACAGTGGGAGAAAAGACAGAGACTCCGCATTCTCTCCTTCCAATGAGGAGAGCTTTCAAGGGAACATTTATAGTTGCGGGAGGATATGACAGAGAAGATGGAAATAGGGCCATTGCTACTGGTTATGCAGATCTGGTTGCTTATGGTCGAGTATTCTTAGCTAATCCTGATCTTCCTCGACGGTTCAAGCTTGATGCTCCTCTTAACAATTATAATAGAGAAACTTTCTACATTCCTGATCCTGTCGTTGGATATACAGACTACCCATTTCTTGATTCCACATCATAAGTTGTTAATTATTACCATTTCTGTTGGAAAGACCCATAAAATTACAGCTTTAAAGATATGATCATTAGTTGTTAAATTATTACTATTCATGTTGGAAAGACCCTTAAAATTACAGCATGGGTGTTTCCCAATAATTCTTGCAGTATCCTGCATGTTGCATACTTTGAGGGTATAATACCCTATGTACTTGTATCTGTATTGATTAAGAAATATAGGCCTTAATTTGTCCTTTGCTTTCTTATTGTTAGTTATGGTGATTCATTTTTAGTACTTTTTTTTTACTGTTTTTTTGTTTCTCCAGGTTTTTTGTTTTCCCTGTAGCCATGAGGTGATAGTATAACATGGTTCTTTAGTTTCTTGTAGTCTTTAGGCTTCGTTTGGGATGACTTTATTACTTATTCTTAAAGCAGTTTTTTAGTACAAAAATTTTAATCTTAATACGAGAAAACTACTTTAAGAAGCACTAAAAAAACCATCTCAAACGAAGTCTTAATTACACCTTAGCTTGTGTTTTCTTCTTTAGGATGTATAAATATAGAGGGATGTTTGATTCCTGGATATGAGTAATATTCTTATTTTCTCTGTTCTTGGAGATTGTTGGTGTAAGATTTAAATTCCGGTAAAGGTTTGTTGGCTTCTGGATACCCTGGAGCTTTTCAAAATCTGGCTTCCTGAATATGTTAGTGTAATTCAGTTTTCTGGCTTTTTGAATACGCTGGAGCAATTCAAACATTTTGATTCTCGAATACATTTAAGAAACATTTATACACTCTTCAAATGGATGAATCAAAGGATCTCAGGAAGCACATGGTTGAATTCAACAAGATTATATTATATCTCAAGAATGTAGATGTAAAAATTAAAGAAGAAGATCAAGGCATTATTCTTCTAATCTCTCTACCAATTCTATATGATAAGTAAACTTTGACAATGATTGAGGTGAAGATAGTTTTGATGTGAGAACAAATTCAAAGAAAATATGAAATGAAGGAGAGAAGTGGTGATATGCTGTTGGTTAGAGGAGACGTAATTTCAGAGACAATAATTTCAACAAGAACCATCAGAGAAGATCAAAATTCAAATTCAAGACTTAAAGAAAATATTTCCATTGCCGCTAAGAAGGATATTTCAAGAAGAGTTGCGGGTAGGAAGAGTTGGCATGGAAACGTAAAGAAGCGTGACAGAAAGGCGGATAAATATAGCATTCTAAACCGTTAAAACACAACAAAAAATGTACCTTGGAGTTCATACAATACACATTGATATTTGGGGGCCATCTGAAATTGCAACTATGGGAGGAGGAATATATTTTATGATAATAATTGAAAATTACTTAAAGAGGCTTTGTAAATTAATGATTAGTTTCATAATCAAATAAAGCTTCGTATGTATGAGCAAATTAGAAGTCATACATGTCGCCACGTCAATAGCATCCTTATCTTCCTACTGAGGCCTTCACTGGTGTTAAGGATAAATTATTCTGTGCGGAGTCCCGTCATCAACCGGAGACCAATAAAAATGCACCACGTCATCCCAAAAGTGTACCGCGCTTGGTACTAAGCTGTACTGGACGGTTCTTCCATCCGATGTCCGTACAGAATAATCTCTCATAGCTAAGGGCATTGGGGCAACTTATTGCTTCCTCTTTTTTGTCTCCTAGTAGACCTTCCTCCACCTTTACGTAAAGATCATCACTAAAAACTCTTGGTGGAAATTTCCTCTATCTATACTCCTTTGCTCGAGCATCAGATTGTATCTTTAGTCCCCTTTCTAACTAACCCGCTATCTTATGCCCAATCCAACCACTTCTAAAATGCCGCTCAATGCTGCATTACATCGTTCTAGATGTCTCCTATCACAGGTCAAACACACAAAGTACACCACGAGCAAAACTCACTGAACCAACACAAAATGCATGAATGAGCTCCTTCTATAATCTTAATTTTTTTGCAAACAAGTATATGAAACCATTTTAAATTGACTGAACATAGGATTTTTTTTTTAATATCTATAAATATTATGTAATCCAGAATAAAGGGGAGTGAAAAGAAGAAGAATCAGTTGATAAGTTAATAATTCATTTTGCAATGAAATGGACATACGCAAAAGTAACTCTAGAAGCAAAACAAAGTGCCCCAAAGCAATTCATAAAAGTTTTCAACAAACACAACATTCAAAAAGACATAAATATCATTGCATTTGATTCACATCTTAAAAAAAAAAAAAAAACTCTTGCATTTCTAAGATTCAAGCACTCCAGTGATTACATTTTAAGATGGGTGCATTTTAAAAATATTAATTTATAAAGGTCTAATGAATTAAGGTATAACTTCTTGCTTCAATCTCACCAAATTTATGTAAAAAACTAGCAAACAAAAACTCAGCGAACCAATAAATAAAAATAATATACTATTATAGCTCAAAATCTATTTTGCACAAATCTTTCCCCACCATTTCTAGCCATGTTACCTTTAGTTTATCTCTTTTTTATCCTATTTCTTCTACATTGACTTCATGTACCATCATATTTGTCCATGTGTTATCCTTGTTGAGCGTGTGCAAAGATGCTAAGGCTATTTTTCACAACCTTATTTCAATATGTGCAACTCTAATTGCTTATGATATAATTTTTAAAATAAATAGCAAAGATAATAAATAGCAAAAAAAAAAAGTAATGCAAAAGGGTACTAATCTCTTGATCATAGCTATGCCAATTATAACACAAGTGAAGGTACAAAGATTTAGTAGCAAAGGTATATTTTTCCTTGACACCCATGCTCCACTATAGTCAGTCAAATTCTGCATAAGATATATTCTCGTTAATAGACATTACATTATGCCAATGAATAAAATATTATTCTTGAGTCTTTAAAATGAAGTTCAAAGCATAAAGAAAAATGTGGTAATCACACTTGAACTCAGCAAAAGAGAAATGACAATGAAGGTAGAAAACCATATAAGCTTTTAAAATTGGAAGAAAATGCATGAAGAAGCTATGGCAATTGCAAAATGACAAGACAATGTATCTTCTTGTCAAATAAGTTATATAACAAAATTATGAAAAATAAGTGTTAAAAATTTGTAGGCAGTCAATATAACATGAAAAAATCATATTCAATTGTAACCAACTAAATATATATAACATATCATTCATTCAAAGTTAAAACAATAATACCGGCAACATGAGAGGCACCGCACACATGTTGTCGTCTAGTTTGCCAATCACCAATGATAGTTGCAACTAGGGCTATCGAGGAGATGAACAAGACTTCACACACGAACTCGCAATGAGCAAAATTAATTAAAATGGCTTGAATCGAACGTCTTCAGGTTATTTTCATGTATTTGCTAATTGGTCTTTTGATCTACAATCAACGATGCAAATCCTTCGTATTTTGAACCACATCGGTTCTACGATTCACCGTATAACCGACTGGATGACCGATTTTTTCCTGATTTACTTCGAAATCGATTTTATGGGTTAACGAAACTGGCCTGCCGATCGGTTCACAGTTCAATCAGTTGAATCAACCGATTTGGTCTAGTTTTTTAAACCTTGCAAATTGATCCCACAAAAGAGTTATGTACCATTTTGGTCCCTCACAAAAGTTGAGAGATTATTTTGAAAATTTTCTCTATGGAGTATATAAAGTCAAAATTTCCTTATATAAGATATAAAAAAATAAATACAATAATATATAATATGTCATCAAATAAATAATTCATTATCAAATGGATGTTTGAAGATGTTATTAACTGGCAATAAATAAATAAATATATATAACATAAAATAAATAAAATAAGTAAATATTTGAGTTCATATATTTAATATCTTGATTTTTAAAACTGTATTCAAAATTAGTTAACAAATTAAATAAATTAATTTTAATATGCAATTATTATTTTTTTTCAAAAAATATATGCAACTGTCCTAACATGATAATTCTTTTATAAAGCGCAACGGTGCGCCTAGGAGAGAAGCAAAGAGAGAGAGAGGGGGAGAGGGGGGAGAGGAAGCGGGAGCTAGAGTCAGAGAGTGATAGTTCGTGAGTGGGAAAAGAAGAGGAGGTTGGGAGGGAAGACATTGAGATCTAACGGGAGGCGAACGAATGGCGAGGAGAACGGAGGAAGAGTACGACTACTTGTTCAAGGTTGTCCTCATCGGAGATTCCGGCGTGGGTAAGTCCAATCTCCTCTCCCGCTTTACGCGCAACGAGTTTTGCCTCGAGTCCAAGTCAACCATCGGCGTTGAGTTTGCCACGCGTACCCTCCAGGTATCCGCTCTCTCTAGTCTGTTTCGCCCTTTCCTATTGTTTTTCATATCCATCTATGTCAGCTATTTTCTCGATCGGGCCTGGAGAGTTTTCTTGGCGCCAGTCTTTGTTTGCGAATCTATTTTCAGAAATTCTTGTCCCTCGCATTTTTTTAGCTCTGTTCTGTTGATTAATCGTGTTTTTTTATCCGCCACATGCTTTCGGCCCTTTATAGGGCTAGAACTCAAGGTTTTTTGTTGGGTACTTTAGGTTGTACTCATTGGAATGTCTGTTCGAGTTGTATCTTCCGAATCCGACTTTTTTCCTTCTTATTTCGCCTTCAAGTTCTGAGATCTGATCAGAAGTTGGATTTCAGTTACTTGCTTCCACTGGCTTAAGCATGCCGTGGTTTTTTTTCCTGTAATGCTTGTTATTCATTTTCTAGGTTATTGCTATGCATCTAATACACGAGATCTATAAAATATTGTATTCGTTCAGCATTAATATATCTGAACTTAAATGGTTTATAGGCTACAAAGCTAAGATGCGAATGTTTTGTAATTGCTCTGAGGCTCTGAGCTTATAGTAGCGGTTGCTTTTGGAAATAGATGCCATTTCTTTTAGGGCAACTAGAAACAGTAATACAGGATGAACGCATATTCATGTAGATTAATGGCGAATATATAGTTATTGAAAATTAATGTCAACTATTGTGAATTTCTTTTCCATATACGACCTTTCCTAGTTTTATTAACCTATGAATTTTATTATTATAATGTGAAAGACGAGCATAAGTTCTTGCTGATTTTTGCCATTGGGAGGGCATCTCCAACCGAACGGCAAACACTTGTTTGCCGTTCTTGTTTTGCTCCAACCGATCGCCATTTTTTACGCCATTTGATCGCGGATGAACAGTGCGACGCCAATATCGCACTGTTTACTCACGCCATTTTTTGCTCTCAACCGGAAAAACACGCGAAAGGGAGGACGATCGTTACCTTCTCAAAAACACCTAAAATGGCGTTCGATTGGAGCATCACCGCGCCATTTTGGAGTTTTGCGTTACTTTGCCGTGAAAAATGAAGTTTTCGGTTGGAGATGCCCTGAAAGAAGAGAATAGGAGTGCATGCGTGTGTGTGTCTATATATAATAATAATAATAATAATAATAATAATAATAATAATAATAATAATAATAATAATAATAATTTTGTAGTACCCTTTTCATTGTCTTACATTTTATATGAAAAAAAAGAACAAATGAGAAAGTAAAAGAATATATTGGCAGGCATAAAGACTTTATTTGTTTTTGAGATTAATCCCATTACAACCACGGTCATCAATATTCATTATACTGCTCAGTTTACAATTACTTGAGATGGCTAACTTTAAATAGAAGGTTAGGTACTTGAGTGATGCCATGCGAGAAGTTTAGTTCAATATATCGATACTGAATTTCATCTATGTCAAAATAATCATATTTAGGTAGTTATTTTGTATCAACTTTTCTCATTTGTAATTTTGAAACTAGAAAGAGTAAGATGGGCTCATCATATGCTCTTCATTATTTTAATTTTGTAGGGTTGAAAGGTTCATGAATTTATTTGTTCTATTAGAGTAGTAGGTATTGATCTGCAATTCATATGTCTGATGATGGAATAACGTAAGCCTATCTTTTTGCTATCTTTTGAAATTGATTCCTCTCTTCTGTTAGGATTTCTTCGAACTTTCTTTATCTCTACCTTCCAATTGCCTTCCTTTGAGGCATTTATTATTTGAATATTCTTATTCCCCTTCTCTTTATCTTACTATTCTCCCTTACACCAAATTCTTCTCTTCCTGATAAATCAAATATTAAAAGTTCAGCATAATCACTGCTTCCATTATATTGATCACATCTATTGGTATCAACGTGAATGATCATGCATTCCATAAAGAATTAATGATATCTCCTTTTTAATTTTGTATCTTCTGATAATTTAAGGTGCCTATGATCTTTTTTTTTTTGCATTCTTTCTCTTCATCGTGAACCTGTAGTATGCTTTCTTCATTGTTCAGTTATCAGCAGCAATGCAAAATATTGTTCCATGAATAGTAATAATAGAAAGTTAATATTTACCCCACGTATTAACCACTCTTTACATTAATTGATCATCAATCCATTGCCATCCACCTCATCACATTTAACTAACTCCATATAAATCTCAACTATTGTCATCAAATTCAAAGTCAAAATTGCCTCCTCAGACCTCCTTGATTATTTTCTCTTAATTGTGAATTTATAACTAATTCCATATAGTTGTCATCAATATTCATAGATCTATCTCCTTTTGAAATTCTAAATTTTATAATCTATTCTTGGTCTATAATCTAAGCTTATTCTGATTTCATAAAAGAAGGCCAAGGCTGGCTAGCACTCCATCAGCGCCCTCATTATTTGATATATTTTGGGTTGGTTTTTACATTCAGTAATGTATGAGATGGTAGATTTATTGCAAGTCATTTAGCATAACTTCTAAGCATGGTATTTCGGTCCATCTATGATTTCTTCCTATTTTCTGCATATTAGTTCTATGCACCCAATGCATTAGTGCATCTTAAACCCTCTTTGTGACGGTGGTGCTACCAAGACCGGTTGTTTCAGCTAACCGGTTCAGCAATCAACCCAATTTGGGTTTTTTTTTTGTTTTATCCCATTGGTAGTTATCCTAGTCATGAATAGGATTAATAGGATTAGTTCTTATCCTATCCCAGTCATCAAGGGGCTCAATTCTTATAAATAGAGCTTCCTTTCTTTATTGTAGTTCAGTTTTTTATTAGAACTAAAATATCAGAAATTGGTTTTTTGTGTTTGTTCTTTTTTAATCCTGGAATGACTTCCAGGCGGTGGCTACCCCTCATCCTCCTTCCTCGGCAGCCATAGGTGGCTGTTCTTTCGTCCATTGGTTCCTCTCTTCTCCCACAGCAACAACAATCTCCTCCTCCGGTTTTTCCTTTTCCAGCCACCCGCCAAGTCTTCTTCCAACCGTCGGTTGTCCTCCTCCCTCACTGCCAGCCCTCTTCTAGCCAACTTCAGCCCTTTCACCAGCACTGCCAGCCTTTCTTCCTGCCCTAGAAGCTGGCAACCTGCGGGTACCAGCAAGACCTGCACTCCAGCCCCATTTTTTTCTTCTTCTAGCATTCGGTTCTGCCTTCCAGCTGGCCAGATGGTTGCTGTAATGCTTCCAAGAAGTCCCTTTCTTGCTGCTTTCCATGCTTTCCAGCCCCTAGGACAGCCCAACCAGCAAGCAGCCAGGGGTCTTTCTGCCCTTCCTGTTGCCATTTATTTTCTCCCAGCATTTCGGCATGGGTTTTCAACCCTCCTCGTAGCTGCTGTCCTTTTTCTCCTCTCTCAAGAAAATAATAGTTTAGAGAATTCTGAATTTTGTAGTCCTCAAGAACTCTAATTACTAGATACAAAGTGCTTGTCTTCTTTTATCATTGTTTTGTACAATTTTCCAGTGTTTCTTGGCTTTTCCATTTTGCATGTCAAAATACTATATGTTTATTCTTTAATAGGTTATCATTACTAACCCTTACTTTCATCATTCCGTTTAATATAACCATTTCTTTCTCTTTCTATTTTTACCATAAATCCCTCTGCATTTCGTATTTTGACATTGGGCTTAGCCATTAGTAGTTTCTTTGTTGCAAATATTTATATCCATATAATGTATTCCATCAAATTACAATTTTATACAATTAATTTTACCTTCATGATAGTAACTTGGTACTTTTAAGATACTTCTTCATTTTAGCTTCCAAAATCAACATTAATGGTGAAAATTTTATGATCGTCTCGATCCCCAAATCCAATTAAGGTTCATTATAATTGTGTGCAAGTATTACAAGCACGTGAAATATGATATTCTATTTTTAAAGACTTTATGTTTGTTCATTTTTTTTATAAGATTTATAAGCTGTTGTTGGAGAACTTCCCTCGATTAGGCTATTATTTATATCTTGAAACCTAACATATCAAATGTTGGGCCTGTGGCTAAGCTTTCTAAGGTTGGCCCGTTGGAATGCCTGGACTTTTGTCCACACACACCATTTCTGGACCCTTACTTTGTCTAGGCTCATGACCTGTTGTTTCGTTCTTTAATCACAGATGTCTATTTATGTAAATCTAACGCTTCCCTTGTTGCATTTCTGCGTATCTGTTAACTTGAAGCCTATCCTTATTACTTATATTGATGCTAAACAATCACCTTAAATCTAATTAACTCACCTCCCATTTTTTTGGGTTAAAAATGGTATATTATTCTACCTTATTGTCCCTTTTCTATGATATGACTTGCCTTTTACAGAGCATTTTGTCTAATTCAATTTGAATAACAAAATTCAATTGAACATTGAACTGCTAACTGAAGATTCCTTGAAGTATTTAATCAGATTGTTCAATTGAGGGTTTGCTTATAATAAGTTCTTTGGCATACGTATTGATGATGAAGTTGAGAGCCTCCATCTGTTTCAAACTGCACTGATGTATTGAGGACGAAAGCATTCCATTAATATTAAAGTTTACACTTTAAATCAAGTAGTAAGATTTGCCATCTCTTTTGCTAGCCCACCATGAACTAATAAGTTGGTTGTAAACTTTCTAGCTGTTCATTCTCACACCTAGCTACGTTGCTTTTTTATGAAGTCTTTTAAATTGATTATTATGCCTTTTTTATTTTATCTTTGTTTCTTAGTTTTTCCATAATTTATAATGGAATTGTTTAACTAAAATTCACTTCTAATGTTAGTTATTTTCTTGTTACTTATTTTTTCTTGATTGGAATCTCCAAAAGATCGAGTGCTCATTTTCTTTCTCTAGCTAATGCCGTGATCTCAGATGCAATGTAACTGTGCTTTCAGATTGAACTTAAATACTACAATTAGGTTGTGTATGAGTATTGATTCAACTAAACGGATACTTCTAATGCATCATACATGGCATTTTTGGTTTTCATTATAAGTTATAACTTATAGTTGAAC